CTGGGCTGTCCAGGGGCCGTCCCGAGCTGTCTGACGGCCGTCTTGGAGACATATTGGGCTATCTTGGGGCTCCCTTTGGGCCAGGGTGGGCCATCTTGGATGCCTCTTGAGCCGTCTTGAGCCGACGGAAGCTTGAAAAGGCGAGGACGCGAAAACCATTCGAAAACACATGAGGAACCGACGAGTTTGGCCTCTTCGGGCCTTGCTGGAGGCTTTCTTGGAGCACCCTTAGCCCGTCTTGGAGGCCCCTGGTGCCGTCCCCAGGCCATGTTGGGCCATTTGGGAGCCATCTTCGGCAGCATTCGAGGCAAATTGGGCTTATTGGCGGCTACGGAGGTCATCATCCTCATCATCATCATCATCATCATCATCATCATCATCAGCATCATCATCAGCATCAGCATCAGCATCATCAGCATCAGCATCATCATCATCATCATCATCATCATCATCATCATTATCATCATCATCATCAGCATCATCATCATCAGCATCATCATCATCATCATCACCATCATCATCATCATCATCATCATCGCCGTGACCGTCTTCATCACCATCATCACCACCATCATCAGCATCGTCGTCGTCATCATCATCGCCGTCTTCAATGTCATCATCACTATCATCGCCGTCGTCATCATCATAATCTTCACCACCAACACCACCACAACCATCATCACCACCATGATCAGCATCGCACACACTCACACACTCACTCCCACGCCCACTAACATATCACACATTCATGTTGAGGAAGTCTCGAGCGGGAGCCTCGCCTGTGAGTGAACGGCCAGGAAGTCTCGAGCGGGAGCCCCTCCCAGTCGGAGCCCCACTTCCGTGTTCGAATCCGAGCGGGTCAGCGGAGTACTTGCAAGTGTTTTTAGTTTGGGGTTCTTGAGGCCTGGATATGAAAGAGCTCTCGAGCGGGATCCTCGGCTGTGAGCGAATGGCGAGGAATTCTCGAGCGGGAGCTCTTGCCTTATGGGGTCCCCGCCTCCATGTTCGAACCCGTGCGGATCAGCGGATCCCGCAATTGCCTCCATGATCGAGCCTTTGAGGTTTGGGCATGCAGAATGTCTCGAGCGGGAGCCCCGTCTGTGAGTGAATCGCTGGAAGTCTCGAGCGGAAGCTCCTCCGTATGGGGTCCCCGCGAACATGTTAGAATCCGAGCAGTTTCAGCGAAGTACATATGAACGACGTCTCGAGCGTGAGGTTCGTCTGTGAGTGAATGCCACCTTGACGAAGTCTCGAGCGGGAGCCGCGTGTGTGAGTGAATGGCGCGGAAGTCTCGAGCGGGAGCCTCCTCCCCATGGGGCCCCCGTTTCCACGTTCGAGCCCGAGCGGGCCAGCGGAATGCATGCAATTGTCGCCACTTTCGAGTTCCTGAGGCTTGAGTGTGGGGGGCGCCTCAAGCGCTGGTTTCGTCTGTGAGCGACGTGCACCCTCAGGAACTCTCGAGCGAGAGTCTCGTCTGTGAGTGAATTAGCGAGGAGGTCTCGGGCGGGAGCCCCGCCCTATGGGGTCCCCGCCTCCGTGTTCGAAAGTCGAGCGGGTCAGCGGAATACATGCAAGTATCATTATGTTCGGGCTCTTGATGCCCGACTATGGAGGGTGTCTCGAGCGGGGGTGTCGTCTGCGAGCGAATTGCATCCTCAGGATCTCTCGAGCGAGAGCCTCGTCTGCGAGCGAATGGCGAGGACGTCTCGCGCGGGAGCCCCCTCCCTGTGGGGCCCCCGCCACCATATACGAATCCGAACGGGCCAGCGGAAAACATGCAATTGTCGTCACGTTCGGGCTCCCGATGTTTGAATATGGGGGGGGGGCGTATAGGGCGGGAGTTTCGGCTTGGAGTGGGTCGCGAGAAAATCTTCAGCGGGGGGGCCTCTCATGGGACCCCCACCTCCCATGAGTTCTCCGACCAACGGCCTGATCTGGGCTCATCGACGGGCGGCGCTGGGGTGCCCGAGCGGATTTGCTCCGTGCACTGGAGTTCGAGGAGGAAGGGGACGAGGAGGAGGCAGGACGGGGAGGAGAAGGCTAGGGCAGGGATGGGGGGAGTAGGCAGGAGGAGGCCGGATGATGATGCTGGCGATGATTATAATGATGGTGGTCATGGTGATGGTGGTAGTGATGGTGATGGAGATGATGCTGGTGATGATGAGGAGGAAGAGGAGGAGGTGGAGGAGGAGGCTGGAGGAAAAGACAGGATGAGGAGGAGGAGCAGGAGCAGGAGCAGGAGGAAGAGAGGAGGAGTAGGAGCAGAAGCAGGAGCAGGAGCAGGATGAAGAGGGGGAGTAGAAGGAGAATGAGGAGGAGGAGGAGGAGGAAGAGGAGGGGGAGGGACGAGGCAGGAGCAGGAGGCAGGTGAAGGCGGGAGGGGAGGCATGAGCATAATGGGGGTATGATCAGCTGGGGACGAGGAGGAGGAGGAGGAGGAGGAGGAGGAGGAGGAGGAAGATGGGGAGTTTAAGGATTCGGATGGAGTAGGAGGAGGAGGAGGTGGATGAGTAAGCAGGAGGAGGAGGCAGGGTGGCGAGGAAGCGGGAGAAGGAGGTGGACCAGGAGGCATGGGGAGGAGGAAGAAGAGGGAGGAGCAGGCAGAGCGGTGACACAGCGAGAGACAGAGGAGGAGGAGGAGAAGGAGGAGGGAGAGAGGGAGGGAGGCAAGGCGCAGCAATCATACTGCAAGACGCCATCCCTCCAAGTTCCCTCACCATGGGCACCTAAAAGAATGTACTCTCACTGCGAGATGTTGCCCATTAGAGGACAATCGTCTGATAATCTTCAATCGCGCCAAGGCGCGGTTCCAGGGACCTTAGCGCGGCGAATCAACGTGACCGTTGCGCCTTGACAATCTCAAGTTGTGCCCGACCACCATTCCTTGGAATGTGCTCACCGAGAAATAATGTGATCGTTTTGTCTTGACAATCCTAAATCGCGCCAGAAATTCAGTATTGCGACTTCGACCGAACAACTATCTGAAGATGTTGCAAGTTTACAAGGCGCATGCGTACTGCGTTAACGCGAGAGTCACTCTTTAAGAACGAACCCTTATCCATCCTTGAAGGTGTTGCAATGGTTTGTTTTGCTCTTTAAAAAATGCGCGCATGCTAGGCGAAATCATTATCTTGAACACCAATCGCCCTCTATCTGCGAGCCGACTGTGAATATTTGAAAGGGGGTTGCGCTGCGCAAATGGGGGGAGCCACATGTTGACCACGACCCGCCTTTCATCCTTGAAACTGTTGCAATGTTTCAGGGCGGGCGTGCGCGGCGCAAAAGTGGGAGCCGCATGTTGAAGACGGCACGTCTTCCGACGTGAAGTTGCTGCAAAGCGTGAAGACGAATGCGCGCGGCGCTAAGGAGGGAGCCACGGATTGAAAACCACCCGCCCTCCATCCGCGAAACTGTTGCAAACTTTTAGGACGAATAGGCGCAACGCGAATGCGAGGGCCATATTTTGAAAACCACCCGCCGTCAATCCGCGAAGCTATTGCAAATTTAGAGCTCCAGGGTCATGCATAGAGCATAGACGAGGCTCCCGCTTGAGACCCCCTCCAGATGCAGGCCCGAGGAGCCCAAAAGTGACGACGGTTAAAGGTTTGAGGATGGCCCCGTCGCATTAACAGCATGGGCTGCGGGCCCCATAGGGAGGAGGCTCCCGCATGAGGCTTCCTCGCACTTCGCTCATGGACGAGGTTCCCGCCTGATACCCCCTCCATGTACGGGCGTGGGGAGCCCACAGGTGACGACAGTTGCAGGTCTAAGGACGACCCGCTCGGAATTGCAATTTGAGCTGCGGGCCCCATAGGGAGGAGGCTCCCGCCTGAGGCTTCCTCGCACTTCACTCATGGACGAGGCTCCCGCCTAATACACCCTCCATATGCAGGCCTGGGGAGCCCACAAGTGACGACGGTTACAGGTTTGAGGATGACCCGCTCACATTTTTTTTTAAAAAAAAAAAACCAAAAAAAAAAAAAAAAAAAAAAAAATGCGGGCCCCATAGGGAGGAGGTTCCCGCCTGAGGCCTCCCCGCTATTCTCTCATGGACGAGGCTCCCGCCTGATGCTCCCTCCATGTTCAGGCCTGGGGAGCCCACAAGTGACGACAATTGCAGGTCTAACGACGACCCGCTCTGATTAACAACATCGGCTGCGGGCCCCATGGGGAAGAGGCTCTCGCCTGAGACTTCCTGACAACTCACTCACAGACGAGGCTCCAGATTGAGACTTCCTCACTCAGGAACGAGGCACCCAGACCATCGTGATCATGATCGTGATGATTGTGTGAGTGTGTGAGTGATGATGACAACGATGATGGAGATGAGTGTGTGAGTGAGTAAGTGAGTGAGCACGATGGGTATGGTGAAGAAGAGGGAGAGGAGAAGTTCCTGCGCGGGAGTGTGCAGAGAAGACAAGAACCCCACTTGAGATGTGGGTAACCATGATGATGACGACAACGACGATGATGATGATGTTGATGATGACGATGGCGATGATGATTATGATGACGATGATGATGCTGATGATGATACTGACGATGCTGATTATGATGATGATGATGCTGCTGCTGATGATGATGATGATGATGATGATGATGGTGATGGTGGGGGTGATGGTAGTGATGAGGATCATGATGGTGATGTTGATTACGATGATGACGACGATGATGGTGATGATGATGCTGATGATGATGATGACGACGAAGTTGGTGGGTTCCTGTTCCTGCGCGGGGTGTCCGGAGAAATCAGAACCTCATTTAGGATGTGGGGAAATAGCAAGGGAAAGCCATAGGACAACCGCACGAGGTAACCATGGGACAACCTAGGCCATCTCACGACCCCTAGCATTACAATTTTCTCTGATCCGTCTACCCATAGCCCACCACGGAAAAGCCGCACAGGACAACCACAGGACAGCTGCCAGCTCCACCTCACCCGCATACACGACACGAATCAACTCCGGTACCGACTTCCAGTTTATGAGCCCTCCGTTTCATGTCGATCTCACCCACAAGTTCAGACGTGCTACAGCGAGCGCCTTTCGAACAGCACAGCACGAAAGCCATGCAGAGCCCCCCCCTCCGACCGAGTCCTTCTCACTGCAGGTGCGCATGCTCAAGCGCATGCTGAGGAACATAGTCTGCAGGGGCTGGGGCTTGAGGGAAGATATCATCAATTGCAGCAGTTCCAGGATGTGTGAAAGCTTCCTTTCCATCCCTCCTCATCCTCATCCTTTTCCGCATGGTCGTCCTCGCATCGTCTTTATCTTCCTCCTCCTTTTCCTCCGCTCCAGCTCCTTATCCTCGTCTTCCGTCTCTTCATTTTCTTCCCCCTACTCCTTCTCAATTTTCTTCATCAATCTCATTCCTCTCTTCCCCCCAGTCTTGACGCGCAGTGAGTTGGGCAGTCAGAAGAGTGCATGGCTTGAGGCGGACACGCGCCTTCAAACAGCTGCATGCAGGCAGGCAGGAGGAGCGGTAAGATGTAGATGGCTTCCCTCCTGCTCCTCATGTTCCTTCTTCTTAGCACTATCACCATTGATTACGATTATGAATATTATAAAGAGTCTTATTAATAGTATTCTTATTCGAAATCTATGATTCGTATTCCCTCCCTCCTTTCCCCTCCTCGTGCCTCCTCTCTCATGCCTCATCTTCCCGCTCTGTCGTTCATCCGTCCTCCTCCCCCTCCTGCTAGTCTTCTGCTTCCTGCCTGCTCATCGATCGTTCCTCCGCTCCTCTTGTGCTCCATCCTCGCTTACTTCCCCTCCGATCCCCTCCTTCCTCCCCGCCTTCTCCTAATCCCACTCCACGGTGCCCTTCTGAGCCCGTTCGGCGTCTGAGCCCGTTCGGCCGCCGGGTGAGCAGACGAACGGGGTCCGTTGCGGCGCGGCCGCAGGAATGGAGCCCGCACGGCCGCCGCGTGGGCTCGATCGTGACTCCGCTGGGCGGCCGCATGGGCTCGGACGCCGACTGGGCTCGGAAGTGAATCCGGGAACCCTGGGGTACCGGTAACACCCCGGTGCCCCTCCTCCCTCGTCCTCCTCCTCCTCCTCCTCCTCCTCCTCCTCCTTCTCATCCTCCTCCTCCTCTTCCTCCTCCTCCTCCTCCCCCTCGTCCTCCCTAGAGACATCCAACGTCTCGGTTTTGACGAGACGCAGGCCCCCGACCTCCCGACCACTTCCGCGGGACCGGTTTTTCATCCCGCGTCGTTTTTTGACGGTCCCGAGGCCCGGCGGCGGCCCCGAGAGGCCAAAACCTGCGAAAAACCGTCGTCTCGATTCTTTCGCCTCCTCCTCCTTCCGGAACCGGTTCGCCGGAGTCTCGCTTCGCCGGGGCTCGGCTCGCTGGGTGCTCGGCTCGCTGGGTTCTTGGTTCGCCCAGCTCGCTTCGCCAGGACTCGCTTCGCGGGGGCTCGGTGGCTCTCCCGACTCGGTTCGCCGGGGCTCGGTTCGCCGGGGCTCCTTTCGCTGGGGCTCGTTTCGCTGGGGCTCCTTTCGCCGGCGCTCCTTGCGCCGACGCCATCGTCGTCTCCGGCGTCGCCGCTGCCGCCGTCGCCGTCGTCGACGTCGTGCTCGAGCGAGCACGCGTGAACCCTAACGAACGGCGGCGGCGGGCGGGCCCTAACGGGCGGAGGCGGCGGGATATTCAAGTATGGTGCATCATCGAGTACGCACGCGGGAACCTGAACGGGCGGCGGCGGCGGGCGGACGCTAACGCGCGGCGGCGGCGGGACATTACTGTATGGTGCATCATCGAGTAGGCACGCGGGAACCCTAACGAACGGCGGCGGCGGGCGGGCGGGCGGACCCTAACGTGCGGCGGCGCGGCGGCGGCGGCGCATTAGCGTATGATGCATCATGGGCGCGCGTGAGCCTTGACGGGCGGCGGTGACGGGCGGACCCAGGCCATTCTGTTTCAGGCCACCGCGCCACGCGGCACTCCGAGTGGCTCGTCTGCGCGAGGAGGTCGACGTCTGGCTTCCACGGACCTTCCCGCCCCATCAGGGTTCAACCTGAACGGTGTTCCGACAGCACCGCACACGAAATGCCCTTCTCCTCGGCGCCGCTGCTCCTTGCCGTCCCACTTGGCTGGCCGGACAGCCACGGGGAGGGGGAGGAGGAGGAGGAAGTGGAGGAGAAGGAGGAGGAGGAGGAGGAGGGAGGAGGAGGAGGAGGAGGAGGAGGACCTCTCCCCCTCCGCGGTTCCCGGGAGGTGCCCCTCGCGGCGCCAGAGGGGCACCGCCGCGAGAGCGGACAAGGGCTCGACCTACTGCCGCCGCCGCGGCATCACGGCGCGCACGGCGGAGCGCACACGGCACTCCGCCCACGGCCTTTTCCGCAGAGGTTGCGGCGTGTGCGAGCAGCAGTTCCCTCTCCTGGCCTTGACGTGAGGCCCCGCCTTCTTGCTTCCGTCCTCTATTAATTAAAGCCGTGGGCGGCCCGCTTAGCTTCGACTGGAAGAGGCTCGCTCTCGACCCGCGGATCAAAAAAAAGAGAAGTACGAGCAGCACCTCTGGGGAGCGTTGCCCTGGAGAGTCCGCGAGGACCTGCCCTGGGAGGTGCGCCGGTTTTTTCTGAACGAAATCAAGCTTTGAAGCAATCCTTGCGGCCATGCTTGGTCGTGCTGTCGCCAGAAGAACGCATATTTCTAAGAGTGGGAGTTGCCCGGGAGCTGCGCGCGAGCCCAGGAAAAGCGCGGCCCAGGAGCTGCGCCAGCGCCTGTGGCGCACGTCTTCGGAATGGCTTGAAAGCGCATGCTGAACAGGCTGCAAGCGCACGGCAGGTCCGTGTAATGTGAGCGCCGCGGCGATCCCGGCGCGGGCGTTGAAGGTTGGGCGCCGCCAGAAGCCCAGAATCGGCCGACCTCGAAGGGTTTGCGCCTTCGGAAAGCCGCGACCGTTCAAGGTTGAACAATCCACACGGTGTCAGAAACCAACGCCGAAGTCGTCACGTTCACGAATTCGCTGTACTGGCGCGCGCTGCAGCCGCAGCAAGTCTTCATTATTGGGGGCGCCAGCGGCAGCGCCAGGGTGGGGGGACTACGATCGACTCCGGCAGCCTTGCCGCCCGAGCTTGTGCACCCAGGCGGCACGAAGCAGGCCACGCAGCCCATCGTCGAGCAGCAGGTGGTGTGCATCGCGATGCAGTCCAGAACGCCGACCAAGATGCGCTTGTGGCCGCCATGCTGAAATTGCAAGGCGCGATACGGATTGCTTGTAGAGAGACGCCAAGACTCTGCTGCAATGGCAGCAGAAGGTCCAAGCCGATTGCGCCTTCATCACGCGAGCTACGCAGGCACTGATTATACGGTCAAAGCGCTAACATATAGCCCACTTGAGCTCAGGATGGGGCTCATGTTTTCGGGACGCTCCTTGGATCTGGGCCGCGGAACCTGTTCGTGCACCGGGCTCGCCGTGGACGGGGAAGCTTCTTCGTTTCGTTATTCTGCGTTCCCCATGGTACACCGTTATTCGGCGCAGCACCGGCGATCGACTCTGCGCTCCCCGCAGAGGGGGGAGCAACAGCTGGGTCCCCATGCCTCACAGCCGGTGCGGGCGCAGCGATCCGGGTAGCCGAGGTGCGTCGAGCCAGCACCGCCCAGGTACGGGATTCCGTTTCCGGCATGGATGACATCCAGGTTCGCGGCGCCACGCAGTCTATCTTGGTTCCATCGCGGCAACATCACGGTGCTACGCGGCTCTTTGTTGCTCATCTCGGCGCTGCTCGGCGCTTCGTTACAGGTATCACATGCGATTGGTCCAGGCTGCTTCCCTGCAGCGCCCACGACAGTGCTCCTTGGGGCAGCGTGCACTACACGAGGGCGTCACATTTGTGAGGCCACGCTGTCCAAGATTCCGCTTCAGCGCCCGTACGACGATTGTGTCGCTTGTGTTGAATGAGAGCACTGTGCGATTATTGTGATGCAGGTTGACTGTTGTGTTGTACGACATGTCGAAGATTCCAACCATGCACGTCTCCACGACCGCTTGCCACGAAATCATCACCAAGTAGTCAAGACGGACAGGGCTTCCTTTACCGTTATCTTGAAGTCTCATGGCAGGTCCACGGATAGAGGCCGATGCCTACACTAAGAGAGACAATGGGAGCGCAATGCATTGCCAATGTCTCGCCTGGCCTAGGCATCAGCAAGAGCAGCACAATGACAGAAGACTCGTGCGATGCAAAGCAACATGCAAAGCTCTGTGATGGAACCCCTGGCATAGCATGCTACGGAGACCTGTCCTTCTTCGAAATGTGTTGGATGGATCGAGCGCAGAACTTCGGGCGATGAATGTGTCCAGCGCGTGCTTCCGCAGCTGGCTGATGATCATGTTGCCCGCGCGCTCTTTCTTGGGATCGGACCCTCCGAATGGGGTCGTCATACTTCGGCGGCGCACCGCGGTGGGGAAACGAGAGTGGGCATGCCTTCTCAGAAGACGGCGGGGCGTCTCAGAAGTCCTCTGGGCCTTCTGATAAACCATCTGTCGCCGCGCCGTTTGTTCCGACGCGCGGCCTTCCGTCTCGAAGAAGGGCGCCTCGGCCACCAGGGCAAACGCCGCCTCGGGCGCGGCGGGTGGGTTCGCCGTGAGGTTTGCCGCGTGGCGGCCTGGTGTGCCTGGGGCGCGGGACGCAGGGCTTGCCGCGGATTTGCCGTGGTGTCAGCGTCGTTCATTTGGGCGCGTCGAGATCAACAGGCGCGGCGACATCTGCAGCTTCGGAAAAAGGCTCAGCAAGCGTCTCAGAGGGCCCGAGGCTTGCTGACCCTTCTGAGAAGACCCGCCCCCTTTGACTCCCCCTGGGCGCGCCGCCGAATCCTAGCAGAACGGAACAGTGACGAGGGAGGAAAAGGAGGAGATGAGAGGGCATGAACGCAGGGGTGGGCGCGGCAGGTCCCCGAGCACCTCGACCCCGACCTCTTGGAGTGCGCCTCGGTGGACAACTTCCAGGGCCGCGAGAAAGATCTTATCATATTCTCGGCCGTGAGGTGCAACAGGAACGGGCAGAAGGTGAGGGCGACGAGGAGGAGGAGGATAAGGATGAGCTGGATGAGAGCGATCAAAAGGACGAGGACGAGAAGTGCGAGGAGGAGGTGGACGAGGGCAAGCGGACGGGGAAGAGCTCTGTAATAGGAATGAGGCTGGTCACGAGGGGGAGGAAGATTATTAGGAGGAGCAGCAGCAGGAATGCGCAGATCGGAGGCTGCGTGCAAAGCCGACTTCAGCTCCTCCTCCTCCTCCTCCTCCTCCTCCTCCTCCTCCTCCTCCTTCTCCTCCTCCTCCCCGTCCTTCTCCTCCTCCTCCTCCTCCTCCTCCTCCTCCTCCTCCTCCTCCTCCCCCTCCTCACGCTCTTCGTCCTCCTCTGGGCGAGCGGCTCTACTTGGCGACGCTTGCCGGCAGGACTGGCACGGTCGGTTTCCTCGCCGACTGGCGCCGCTTGAACGTGATGCTCACTCGGGCGCGGAAGGGCATCGTCATCGTCGGTAGCTCCCGGACTCTGAAGGACGGCGGGAGCCGGGGCAATCAGAGGAGGATCAGGTCCGGAAGGACGGCGACGGCGAGGAGCGCCTCCTGTGTGCAAGCCGCGAGCGTTCGACCGGGGAGGGCACGCGTAAGCATGTGCAGAGAAATACCTTGGAAGTCTGCGAGGAGCTCCGAAAGACATCCTCTGCTCCTGCTCGGGCCCCTCCTTTCTCTTTTCCAGCGGCTGGCCAGGCGATTTGATGAACCATCCTGGTGACTAGATGCACCATGGCGGGAGCGGTGGACGCTGAACATGCGTGCGGGTGCGTTTCGGTGTGCAGGGTAACCTCTGCAGGACGCGAGGAAGAATGGAAACCCGGCGAGCAAGGGGGAGCAGGAACAGGAGTAGTCCAAGAAAGGTGTCGGCGGAGGGGGGTGATACGGAGGACGATAATGAAGAGGAGGAGGAGGAGGAGCAGCAGCCGCAGCAGCAGCACCCGAGGTCAGACAAGTGGATGAGTTGTAGGCGGTGGAGGAGGCAGAGATGCTGACCCTGCGCAGGGTGGAGGAGCTCGTTGAGCCCCAGATAGAATTCACGCTGGCGTCTGCAAGGGAGATGTAGAAGACCTCAGAGTCAATGAAACACGGAGACCAGATTGCTTTACAAATCCTCTCCTCTACTTCCCCGTCCGATGTTTCCTCCCAGCCTCGACTTTCCACATGATCCTTTTCAAGTGGGGTTCTGGGCAGACCAACGAGCACTGGGGCCAGTGGCTCGAGTTCTACCAGAAGTGCGCCTCCGGCAGAGCAAGGACTTCCGGGCAAGAGGGTTGTTTCGCGACGTTCGTGAGTTCAGGCATGTCGTTAGGTGCATGCTGTTCGTGAAGGTGTGGCGTCTCGTGAGTAGGCACTTTGTCCCAGCATGTGTATGTGTGTGCTGCGGCCGTCCTCAGTTGTGTGCAGAGCGACGCCCGCTATGGATACATGTTGCAAAGTGGCAGCAGTTGTTGCCGATGGGTTCACGTTGGGGCACGACTAGTTCTCGAAGAACTGCATAGCGTTGGCTACCCGTCTGACTCACACGTGTCCATGTAATGGCTCAAACGTTTGGAGGTTCCTCCAGATTACCACGCTGATTGCATAGCTTGACATGTACAGCGGCGCTCTGCGAGAGGAGTTTAGTGGACATCCATGTTGTCTCGCCAAATAACCCTTTCGATGGGAGGTCACCAGCTCACGTCATGGATTGCTGCGCGGTTGCCGCGCACAACCAATATTTCGGAGTGGTGCGCTCGCTTTCTCTCTCTCTCTCTCTCTCTCTTTCCCTCTTTCTCTCTTTCTCTCGTTCTCTCTCTCTCTCTCTCTCTCTCTCTCTCGTTCTCTTATACAGGGAAGCTGCAGAAAGAAGGACCCCTCTGGGCTTGGGAGGCGCTCTGGCTTCCGGATCGCTCCTCGGATCCAGGTCGGGGACCTGCCCGTGGCAGAAGTTCGGCGTGGCCAGAACAGCCCCCCCATCGCTCAGTCGGCGTTCCTTCTCTCGGCATCGCTCGGACGTGTGCATTTTTTCTCGGCGAGAACCATCGAGGTCCAACCTTGACCATCGAGCAAAGAAAACACGCACGAAACCGAAAAATACACTGGAAATGGACGTTCGAGCGACGGCAAGTTCTGGTAGCATGACAAACTGACGTTGGCCACATTCCCGTCGTTGAGTGAAGCTATCGCCTCGGCGGGGGTAACTCTCTCGGCTCGGAGCCCTCCCAGGACTCCGCGGGGACCACACCGGGAGTTTGCCCAGACTCCATGCGAGAACGTCGAATTCTAGAATCCCGCTAGAAGCCCCGCCAGGACAATCCCAGGACCCGAAGGTTGCTTTCGCTTCAGCACGAACTGCTACACTTTCAGCTCAGGGTAAGAGGGGGAGAAAGGGAAACCAAGAAACATACAAACAATAAAACAAGAAAGGCAAGAACAACGAGAAACATAAAACAATACATCCGTGACGCAGAAGGGCCCTGCCAGGACCACACCTCGACGCCCCCCCCCCCCCCCCCCCCCCCCCGGCGCCGCACCCCCCCCCCGGCAGACCAGAAAAACGGCAAAACGCACCACCCAGGACCCTGAGAACAACGTTCTTCGCGGGAGCGTCAGCCACTCCAGTGTTGACGCGGCCCTCGTGTGAGGAGACGCCTCGGTGATCTTGCGGCATGTGCAAAAGCTGAAAGAGCATCGCGCTGACATATGACGCAGATGCTCACTTGAACATACTCGAGATCACTGGTGAGCAGCAGGTGGCATGTTGAGGGGGGGCCGTGGCACCGTGCTGGGAATTCCACCAGCGTGGACCCCCCCGGGGTCTGGACCGCTTCCCTGGGAGCCGGCTGCCCGCCCCGAGCCGTTGCTCGACGACCCCGGCAAGGGCCCCCGGGGGCCGAAGATGGCCCAAAGCCTTCGGCGGTGCTCTGGCGCAGCGAGAGGACATCCCCTCCCTGTCCTTCTCCCGCTCCTCGCCCTCATCGCCAGCGCTCTCCACACCTCGCCTGGCCGCAGGACCCCCAGCCCCGACAAGAACAAGCCGCCCCCAAAGGACGAGACGCCAGAGGAGATGGAGGCCAGGCTCAAGAAGGAGAGGGTCGAGGCGGCGCGCAAGCTGTCCATGGAGCCTGGGGGGGGTACTGGGTTGGATAGTTCTCCTTACCTCCCACACGGGGCCAGGCCAGAGTGGGGGCCGGAGGATCGCGCCGATCTTCTCCATCACGACGGGGCGACCTCTGACTCCACTCGCTTCGCCCCCATGTGGGAGGCCTCCACATTCGGAATGCGAGTGTAGCGCCGATGGCTAGCACGGAGGCCGCGAGGACCAGGCAGGGCACCTCGGAGGAGAGTGGACCGGGACGCGTCCCCGCGCCCTAGCCGGAGCCAGCACCGGAGGGAAGACGCTGGCGCGACGCTCCTCAACAGCCGAGCGGCCGAGACTCCTCGAGGGGCGTCTCCGGAGGTCCTTGGAGGCCTCCAGGAGCTCCTGGAGGCTCCCACAGGTGATCTCCCCATTTCTCTCCCTCGAGTCTAAGCTCCTATCGTGAAGCGAGCCTACGCCTTGCAAAGTGCGTGGTGCAACCTGCATAGTTCAACCTATGCGGTGCAATCTTCGTTTTGCAATTCATGTGACGCAATACAGTCGGGGCGCTGAAGAAGAAACCCTTTTCGTTGGGGAGGGGCTGGATGTTCCATGATTGTTGTACATTTTGTGTTGGGTTTTTACCTAACAGCGAAGACTGATAGGTTTCTAGTTGACTCAAAAGAGCTCACAGATCACTCCACAGGGGGGTCCGGGCAGGCGTTGGGAGTTGCCGGCCGGGCCTGTGCCGGGCTCGTTTTTCACCAACAGTCACACACTTCGTGCTCGTCGACCTCTCAGAACCCCATTCCCAGGCCACATTCTGAATAACCGGATGCAACAGTCACACACTTGGTGCTCCTTGACCTCCCAGAACGCCATTCCCGGGCCACATTTTGAATGCCCGGAGCCAACTGTAGGCCACTTCGTGGTCTTCGAGTTCCCAGAACTCCATTCCCGGGCCACATTTTGGATGCCCGGAGCCAACTGTAGGCCACTTCGTGGTCTTCGAGTTCCCAGAACTCCATTCCTGGGCATGATTTTGAATGCCCGGAGCCAACTGTAGGCCACTTCGTGTTCTTCGAGTTCCCAGAACTCCATTCCCGGGCCACACTTTGAATGCTGAGGCAGGCTGATGCTGAGGCTGAGGCAGGCTGAGGCTGAAGGCAGACTGAAGCTGAGGACGAGGCTGAAGGCAGACTGAGGCTGAGGCTGAAGCAGGCTGAGGCTGAGGCTGAGGCAGGCTGAGGCTGAGGAGGCTGAGGCTGAGGCAGGCTGAGGCTGAGGCTGAGGCTGAGGCAGGCTGAGGCTGAGGCAGGCTGAGGCTGAGGCCGAGGCTGAAGGCAGACTGAGGCTGAGGCTGAAGCAGGCTGAGGCTGAGGCTGAGGCAGGCAGGCTGAGGCTGAGGCTGAGGCAGGCTGAGGCTGAGGCTGAGGCTGAGGCTGAGGCTGCAGGCTGAGGCTGAGGCAGGCTGAGGCTGAGGCCGAGGCTGAAGGCAGACTGAGGCTGAGGCTGAAGCAGGCTGAGGCTGAGGCTGAGGCAGGCTGAGGCTGAGGCTGAGGCAGGCTGATGCTGAGGCAGGCTGAGGCTGAGGCTGAGGCTGATGCAGGCTGAGGCTGAGGCAGGCTGAGGCTGAGGCCGAGGCTGAAGGCAGACTGAGGCTGAGGCTGAAGCAGGCTGAGGCTGAGGCTGAGGCAGGCTGAGGCTGAGGCTGAGGCTGAGGCTGAGGCAGGCTGAGGCTGAGGCTGAGGCAGGCTGATGCTGAGGCAGGCTGAGGCTGAGGCTGAGGCTGATGCAGGGTGAGGCTGAGGCAGGCTGAGGCCGAGGCTGAAGGCAGACTGATGTTGAGGCTGAGGCAGGCAGGCTGAGGCTGAGGCTGAGGCTGAGGCTGAGGCTGAGGCTGAGGCTGAGCAGGCTGAGGGTGAGGCTGAGGCAGGCTGAGGCCGAGGCTGAAGGCAGACTGATGTTGAGGCTGAAGCAGGCTGAGGGCGAGGCTGAGGCAGGCTGAGGCTGAGGCAGGCTGAGGCTGAGGCTGAGGCAGGCTGAGGCTGAGGCTGTGACTGCGACTGCTGTTGCCACTGCGACTGCCATCGCGAATGCGACCACGACTGCGAGAACAGCAGAATTCTACAACAGGATTCTTATCTGAATCTTAAGGGGAATGCTTCCAGATATGCTCCTACACATCGCTGTTAGGTTGCTTTGCCGGGATAATCTTTTTGTTTTCCATGGCAAATCAAAACTTAACTTATGGGAGCAAGGGGCCTCGTTCCTTATTTAGGGTTCCTTAGGTCAACGCCCCGACTGTATACGTTGTTCAATATAGGGCGGCCACGAAGCGTCGGCGGCGCCCACATAGCAAACAGGCCGACAGACCGGCCCCGACGACGGGCAGCGACAAGGGGGTGAAGGGGCGGCGACGGCGGCCACCGCCAGACCGACAAACAGGCCCAGTGTTTTTAGAAAAGGAGCACGAAGCCCGAAGTGCAATTAAGGAGTGCGTATCGAAGACGCCTACGGCGAATCACCGCCGCCCCCTGCCTTTGTGGAAGCGCCTGTGTGTGTCCGACAGCTGGGCTAGAGCTTGGCCAAGCCATCGGATCATGTTTTCCCCGAGTCCGTTTGGAAAGGTTTCGGGGAACGCGGGGGGGAGGAAGGGGAAGAGGAGGAGGAGGAGGAGAAGGAGGAGGAGGAGGAGGAGGAGGAGAAGGAGGAAAAAGGAGAAGGGGTTTGCCTCTTCGGAGCCTCTTCAGGCACTCTTGGGCTCGATTGGACCATCTTGGGACCGTCTTGGAGACCATGTTGGGGCTACCTTGGGCTCTCTTGGGGCCTCTTGAGGGCCTCTTGGGATCCTTTTGGGGCTTCTCGGGGGCTTATTTTGCCGTCTTATGGCGTTCCTGGCCCGTCTGTCGCCGTCGGGGGCCGTCTTGGGGGCCTCTCTGAAACGACTTGGGGCCCTCTTGGGGCGCTTCGGGGCCGTCTTGTAGGCCATCTAAAGCGTCTTGGAGGCCTCTTGGGTTTGGGGCCCTCTTGTGGCAGTCTTGGGGGCGTCATGGGCCGTCATGGGGGCCATTTGGAGGCCTCTTGGGCGATCTTCGGGCGACCTTGGGGGCCTCTTGGGCCGCCTTGGGCCGTCGGAATGCCGAAAGGCGCAAATGCCAAAATCCTTCAAACACCTAAGGAAAATCAATGAGTTTGGCCTCGTCAGGCCTTCCTGGAGGACCTCTTGGACACCTCTTGGGCCGTCTTGGAGCGTCGGAAGGCCAAAAATGCACAAGTGCCGAAATCCTTCTAAGGAGAATGAATGAGTTGGGCCGCTTCGAGCCTTCCTGGAGGACCTCTTGGAGGCCTCTTAGGCCGTCTTGGGGGCCTTTGGGGGGCCTCTTGGGGGCCTCTTGGGTCGTCTTGGGCCATCTTGGGGCCATCTAAGGCAGTCTTGGGTACATGTTGGGCCGTCTTGGAGGCATCTTGGGGCCATCTTATCCGTCTTGGAGGCATCTTGGAGGCCATCTTGGGCCATCTTGGCCAACTTCGAGGCCATCGAGGGCGTCTTGGAGGCCCCTTGGGCCGTCTTGGGGCCCTCTTGGGGCCGTCTTGGGGCCCTCTTGAGCCGTCATGGGGCCATCTTGGAAGCCTCGTGGGCAATCTTCGGGCGACCTTGGGGGCCGTCTTGGGCCGCCTTTGGCCGTCCGAAAGTCAAAAAGGCGCAAATGCCAAACTCACAAAAAAACAGAAAACCAAACATTGACCTCTGCGGGCCTTCCTGGAGGACCTCTTGGAGGCCTCTTGGGCCATCTTGGAGGCCTCTTGGAGGCCTCTTCGGCCGTCTTGGGCCATCTTGTTTGGGGCCATCTAAGGCCGTCTTGGGTACATGTTGGGCCGTCTTGGAGGCATCTTGGGGCCATCTTAGCCGTCTTGGAGGCCATCTTGGCCGTGTTCGAGACATCTTGGAGGCCATCTTGGGCAATCTTGGCAGTCTTCGAGGCGATCGAGGGCGTCTTGGAGGCCCCTTGGGCCGTCTTGGGGCCCTCTTGGGGTCGTTTTGGGGCCCTCTTAGGCCGTCTTGGGGCCATCTTGGAAGCCTCTTGGGCGATCTTCGCGCGACCTTGGCGGCCTGTTGGGCCGTCCGAAAGACGAAAAACCGAAAGGAAATCAATGATTTTGACCTCTGCGGGCCTTCCTGGAGGACCTCTTGGAGGCCTCTTGGGCCATCTTGGAGGCTTCTTGGGGGCCTTGTGGGCCCATCTAAGTCCGTCTTGGGTGCATCTTGGGCCGTCTTGGAGAAATCTTGGGGTCATCTTAACCGTCTTGGAGGCCATCTTGGCAGTCTTGGAGGCATCTTGGAGGCCATCTTGGCCGTCTTGGAGGCCATCTTGGGCGTCTTGGAGACCTCTTGGGCCGTCTTGGGGCCCTCTTGGGGCCATCTTGGAGACCTCTTGGGGCCATCTTGGCGATCTTGGGGGTATCTTGGGCCGTCTGGGGCCGTTGGAATGCCGAAAAGGCGCAAATGCCAAAATCCTTCAAACGCCTAGGGAAAATTAATGAATTTGCCTCTTCGGGCCTTCCTGGAGGACCTCTTGGAGGCCTCTTGGGCCGTCTTGGGCCATCTTCAGGCTATCTTAGGCCGTCTTGAGTACATTGTGGGCCGTCTTGGAGGCATCTTGGGGCCATTTGAGCCGTCTTGGAGGCAATCTTGGCCGTCTTGGAGGCATCTTGGCCGTCTTGGAGGCCGTCTTTGGGCCGTCGGGGGCAGGAAAACCGTTTGCAACCACCTCTTCCGGGACCCCGGCGGGACGGGCTGAAGCCCCAGGGGGAGTTCTTTTGGAAAAAGAACCAAAACCAAAAGCCATATCGTTCGGCACACCAGGCACCCCTGCGATGAATCGACAGGGGGCGGCGGTTCGAAGACGCCTGCGGCGAATCACCGCCGCCCCCTGCCTTTTGGAAGCGCCTGTGTGGCCGAACGTTGAGGCCAGACCTGCCAAGCCATCGGGACCATGTGTTCCCCGAATCGGTTTGGAAAGCCTTCGGGGAACACGTGGGCATCTTGAAGGTCATCTTGGCCGTCTGGAGGCCATTTTGACCCTTGCGGGCCTTCTTGGAGGACGTCTTGGAGGGCTCTTGGGCCGTCTTGGAGGCCATCTTGAGCGTCTTGGAGACCTCTTGGGCCGTCTTGGGGGCCTCTTGGGGCCGTGTCTTGGGCCTCTTGGGCGATCTTTGGGGGCACTTGGGCCGTCTCGGGCCGTCGGAAGGCAGAAACAAAGCAAATGCCACAATCCTTCAAAAACCATGGGAAATCAATGACTTTGGCATTTTCGGGCCTTCCTGGAGGCCCTCTTGGAGGCCTCTTGGGCCGTCTTGGGCCATCTTAGGGCCATGTTCGGCCGTCTTGGTGGGCTCCTGGTCCGTCTGACGCCGTCGGAAGCCGTTTGGGGGGCCTCTATGGGCGGACTTGGGGCCTTCTTGGAATGCTCCAGGGCCGTCTTGGAGGCCATGTTGGGCGTCTTGGGGGCCTCTTGGGGCCGCCTTGGGGCCCTCTTGGGCCGTTCTGGGGCCATCTTGGAGGCCTCTTGGGCGATAGTTCGGCGATCTTTGGGGGCTCTTGAGAGGGTTTAACGCGCCAGGCACCCCTTTGATAAATCAAAAGGGGGCGGCGGATCGAAGACGCCTACGGCGAACCACCGCCGCCCCCTGCCTTTTTGGAAGCGCCTATGTGGCCGAACGTTGAGGACAGACCTGCCAAGCCATCGGACCATGTGTTCCCCGAATCGGTTTGGAAAGCCTTCGGGGAACACGTGGGCATCTTGAAGGTCATCTTGGCCGTCTTGGAGGCCTCTTGGGCGATCTTTCGGCGATCTTTGGGGGCTCTTGGGCCGTCTCGGGCCGTCGGAAGGCCGAAAAGAAGGAAATGTCACAATCCGTCAAAAACCTAAGGAACATCAATGTTTTTGGCCTCTTCTGGCATTCCTGGAGGCCCTCTTGGGGGCCTCTTGGGCCCTTTCGGGCCAGCTTCGAGCCAACTTCGGCCATCTTGGTGGGTTCCTGGCACGTCTGACGCCGTCGGGAGCCGTCTTGGGGGCCTTTCTGGGCCGACTTGGGGCCCTCTTGGGGCGCTTCGGGGCCGTCTTGGAGGCCATTTTGGGCGTCTTGGAGGCCATCTTGGGCGTGTTGGAGGCCTCTTGGGCCCTCTTGGGGCCGTCTTGGAGGCCACTTGGGCCGTCATGGGGCCCTCTTGGGGGCCTCTTGGGCGATCTTGGGGCCCTCTTGGGGTCCTCTTGGGCCGTCTTGAGCCGTCGGAATGCCGAGAAGAAGCGAATGCCTAAATCTTTCAAAAACCATAGGGAAATCAATGATTTTGGCCTCGTCGGGCCAACCTGGAGGACCTCTTGGAGGCCTCTTGGGCCGTCTTGGAGGCTTTTGGGCCGTCGTAGACCATATTGAGGCCATCTTGGGCCGTCCTTGGATGCATCTTGGGGCCATCTTAGCCGTCTTGGAGGCCATCTTGGGCCGCCTTGGAGACGTCTTGGAGACCATCCTGGGCCATCGTGGCCGTCTTGGACGCCATCTTGGGCCAACTGGAGGAAACAGAGGCAAGACGGACGCGTTTTGACATCCTTCCCGGGACCCCGGCGGGACGGGCCGAAGCCCCAGGGGGAGTTCTTTTGGAAAAAGAACCAAAACCAAAACCGAGAGGGTTTAACGCGCCAGGCACCCCTTTGATAAATCAAAAGGGGGCGGCGGATCGAAGACGCCTACGGCGAACCACCGCCGCCCCCTGCCTTTTTGGAAGCGCCTATGTGGCCGAACGTTGAGGCCAGACCTGCCAAGCCATCGGACCATGTGTTCCCCGAATCGGTTTGGAAAGCCTTCGGGGAACACGTGGGCATCTTGAAGGTCATCTTGGCCGTCTTGGAGGCCTCTTGGGCGATCTTTCGGCGATCTTTGGGGGCTATTGGGCCGTCTCGGGCCGTCGGAAGGCCGAAAAGAAGGAAATGTCACAATCCGTCAAAAACCTAAGGAAAATCAATGTTTTTGGCCTCTTCTGGCCTTCCTGGAGGCCCTCTTGGGGGCCTCTTGGGCCCTTTCGGGCCAGCTTCGAGCCAACTTCGGCCATCTTGGTGGGTTCCTGGCACGTTTGACGCCGTCGGGAGCCGTCTTGGGGGCCTTTCTGGGCCGACTTGGGGCCCTCTTGGGGCGCTTCGGGGCCGTCTTGGAGGCCATTTTGGGCGTCTTGGAGGCCATCTTGGGCGTGTTGGAGGCCTCTTGGGCCCTCTTGGGGCCGTTTTGGAGGCCACTTGGGCCGTCATGGGGCCCTCTTGGGGGCCTCTTGGGCGATCTTGGGGCCCTCTTGGGGTCCTCTTGGGCCGTCTTGAGCCGTCGGAATGCCGAGAAGAAGCGAATGCCTAAATCTTTCAAAAACCATAGGGAAATCAATGATTTTGGCCTCGTCGGGCCAACCTGGAGGACCTCCTGGAGGCCTCTTGGGCCGTCTTGGAGGCTTTTGGGCCGTCGTAGACCATATTGAGGCCATCTTGGGCCGTCCTTGGTTGCATCTTGGGGCCATCTTAGCCGTCTTGGAGGCCATCTTGGGCCGCCTTGGAGACGTCTTGGAGACCATCCTGGGCCATCGTGGCCGTCGTGGACGCCATCTTGGGCCAACTGGAGGAAACAGAGGCAAGACGGACGCGTTTTGAAATCCTTCCCGGGACCCCGGCGGGACGGGCCGAAGCCCTAGGGGGAGTTCTTTTGGAAAAAGAACCAAAACCAAAACCGAGAGGGTTTAACGCGCCAGGCACCCCTTTGATAAATCAAAAGGGGGCGGCGGATCGAAGACGCCTACGGCGAACCACCGCCGCCCCCTGCCTTTTTGGAAGCGCCTACGTGGCCGAACGTTGAGGCCAGACCTGCCAAGCCATCGGACCCTGTGTTCCCCGAATCGGTTTGGAAAGCATTCGGGGAACACGTGGGCATCTTGAAGGTCATCTTGGCCGTCTTGGAGGCCTCTTGGGCGATCTTTCGGCGATCTTTGGGGGCTATTGGGCCGTCTCGGGCCGTCGGAAGGCAGAAAAGAAGGAAATGTCACAATCCGTCAAAAACCTAAGGAAAAGCAATGATTTTGCCTCTTCGGGCCTTCCTGGAGGACCTCTTGGAGGCCTCTTGGGCCGTCTTGGAGGCCTCTTGGGGGCTTCTTGGGCCGTCTTGGGCCATCTTGGACTCTCTTGGGCCGTCTTGGAGGCCGTCTTGGATCATCTTGGGCGGACTTGGAGGCCATCTTGGATCATCTTTGTCGGACTGGCAGGCCATGTTGGACCATCTTGGAGACCATCTCGAGCCGTCTTGGAGGAAAAAATTGGGAATTGAGCGCCTTCCGGGTGGCCGGCGGGACGGGCCGAAGTCCCAGGGGGAGTTCTTTGGGAAAAAGAACCAAAACCAAGACCGAGAGGATTCAGCACGCCAGGCACCCTTGTGATGAATCAACAGGGGGCGGCGGATCCAATGGCCTCCGACCCATCCCGCCACCGTGCCTGTGTTGTGGGCAGGCCTCTAGGATGTTCGTCAGGATGTTGCGGGAGGCCTCTCGGGGGTTTTCTGGGGGCCGTTTTGAGGCCTCTTGAGGGGCCGTTTGCGGTTTCTTGGGGCGTCTTCGGGGCATTGGATCTCTTGGAGCCTCTTGTGGGCCTGGGGGCATTTGGGGCCGTTTTGGGGCGGTCCTGGGAGCCTGTCTTGGAGCGTCGGGAGCTCGAAAAGTCGAGGACCCAAAAATCCTTTTAAAAACAATTTGAACTTAATGATTTTGGCCTCTCGGGGCCCTCTTTGGCAGGGTGTTGGGGCTCTCTGGCGTTGAGTTGGTGGTCTCTTGGGCCGTTTTGAGGCTATCTTGGGCGTCTTGGTGCGATCTTGGGGCGTCTCGGGGCCCTCTTGGACCTGCTTGGGGGCCTCTCGGGGCCTTTGTGGCCCATCCTCGGCACGCCGCGGCAATCCCAGGGAGATTTGACAATTCGAGGTCCAGTCCCCTTAAAGACTCTTCAGAAGTTAGGATTGAGGCCTGAGGGATTGGGTAAAGGACTTGAGGACACGCCCACTCCTTGCCCAGAGGCACGGTGGCGGATATTCAGGAAGATGAAGTCAGAGAGCAGGATGGTGTCCAAGAACAAACATACGAGGAGGACGAGGAGCAGGGGGGCCGAGGTCGAGGAGAAGGGGCAGAAACAAGACGGAGGGGAGGTTGAACGAGGAGAGAGGAGGGAGAGGGTGCCTGGCGGGACCGGGGGAGGATTGAGAGGAGGGAGACGGTAGGCACGCCCAGGGTCTCCCATACAATTCAGGACGCCCAGAGAACCACATGCACGATCCGCTTCCTCGGCCGGCGCGGCTGCGAGTGCGCACGGGTCCACAATCCGCGCGAACGCGTCGATCGTGCAGCAGATTGAGGGAGGAGGCAAGACGAGAGGGGGGCTCCCGGGGGGGGGGGCCTCTCAACGAACTGCCTCTCGGAGAGCACGCAGCGCGGGGGTGAAACACACAGACCCACGCACACACACAGACACACACAAACACACACACACACACACCACGCACACGCACAAACACACACACACACACACACACCACGCACACAAAAACAAACACGCACGCACACAAACACAAACAAACACGCACACACACATGTCCTTTGCGTTTTGGCCGGCAGAGGGCTTCATTCTCTTTAAGGAGGTTCGACAGAGATCGAGGGCCCCAAGGCACACGAATTTCAGATGTGTGGGAGGCGCTGGTCTACCACTCATTGCAGGAAATACATCGGTATACACAAGCACAGTCTAACGGAGAAGCAGCATGTGTCGGAGTCCTGTCTCGCAGTGGAAGGGCGGGAGGCGATCCGGTTTCCCGGCCTCGCGGGGGCCGAGAAGAAGAAGGAGAAGTCCAGATCCAGGCACCGCTGCATGGTCCTGGCTCCCGCCCACTTTACCTTCCACCAGTACTTTTCCTCTCTCCGGTACATCTTCATGATTCAAGAGGCCGCGGAAGGCCACGGACGGCAGATTTGGAAGCTCCAGAGTCTCCAGGGGTTCGCCAGGGAGCCCGGACACTCCCTTCCCATTAAAAAGATGTCGAAGCTTGGGGAAGGCGGACAAGGGGAGGGGGACGCCCAATGATTTTATACGCCTTCTCACCCCCGCAAGCGGGGACTGGCGAATCTTCACTCCTCACACGCTTCTACCGTCTTGCCTTGTCGTAGCAATTGTTCCAAGGTTGTGTCATCTTCTGTTCTCCTTCACCTCGCCCTTCCCATTTTTGCTTCCCCCCTAGCCCTTTCCACGCTCTTGCTGCAATTCCACAAGATACACCTCATAGGCCGCCTGGGGTGAGCACGGCGAGGACGAGGGCAGCGGGAGGAGGTAGGAGTGATGGGAAAGGGCGACGCGGGGAGGGCGACTGGGGAGGAAGGACGGAAGAGCGGGGAGGTGTAAGGATTCCTCTCGCTTCGCGGGGTGCACGTCCTGACTGGGCGGTGCGCCCTGCTCGTCTGCCGAGAAGTTCTGCCGTATCGCTCTGCCCGCCCACGGGCGTTGCTGGCGCCACGGGGGGCAGATGCGCCCCCCCCCTCTCGTTTTCAGCGCCAGGCCGAGCGTGCGAATGTCCACGAGGCAAGGAGCATTCACCGCGTGTCAACACAGGGCAACGCCAAGTTCAAATTCCGATGAGCATAGCAACAGCGCGCCGTTCGTCAGAGTGAGGGGGCCGAACGGTCATTCATTGTCCCTGGGCGCGTGGCTGAAATGGGGACCCGTGATGAGGATTTTGCTTGTCACGTGGTGGTTGTTGTTGGTATTGTAGTTGTTGAACTCTCATTTCTGAAGAATCATTATTGTTGATCCCCCCGCCCAGTGCACTTTGTCGCTTGATATTCCTACACAATTTATTCAGATGTCGCTCCCCGACACTCAGGAATCGCGCTCCCGCTGTAGATTGCCTGGCGGTTCAAGCAGGACTCACGCTTCAACGACCCGCCCGCTCGACCTGCCCGTCGGGGCCTGCCCGCCCGACCAGTCCGTTAATGACTGCAGTCGCCGCTCGCTGCCCTTCGCCCGCCTTCGATGCCCCTCGCTGCCCGTACTGGTTCCGCGGTCGCCTTCGCTCGCTGCCCTTCGTGGCCCCGTTGCTGCCCTCAGTGGCCCCGTCGCTGCCCCTTGTGGCCCCGCATTATATACCCTTCGTGGCCCCCGCTCGCACGCGCCCGTCGTGGCCCCAGACGCATGCCATTCGTAGCCCCGCTGTCGCCCTTCGTGGCCCCCTCGCTGCCCTTCGTGGCCCCTTTGCTGCCCTCAGTGGCCCCGCTGTCGCCCTTTGTGGCCCCGTCTTCGAGTGCCCTTCGTGGCCCCCGCTCGCTCGCTCGCGCCCGTCGTGGCCCCATATGCGTGCGTGCCCTTCGTGGCCCCGCTGTCGCCCGTTGTGGCCCCCTCGCTGCCCTTCGTGGCCCAGGTGCTGCCCTCAGCGGACCCGTCGCTGCCCTCTGTGGCCTCGGAGTTCATGCCCTTCGTGGCCCACGCTGGTTTTTCTCACGATTTATTGGGAATCGCGCTATCGCTCAAGACTTCCTCGCGATTAATGCAGGACCCACGCTTCAGCAACCCGCCTGCTCGACCTCGTCGCCTGGGTCAGCCTTCCCGACCTGCCCGCTATGGGTCTGCCCATCCGATCTGCCCGTCTGGTTCTACCACTTGTTTTCTGTTCCTTGCCCCCGTCCCGCTAATTTCTCTCGTGCTCCATTCTTCTCCCTCCACATTTCGCCCGTCCTCTCTTCCCTTGTTTTAGGGGCTGCACTAAATACACGTGGCATGTGAGGACGATCTACCCCCATGGGGGCACGATCGAAGACGACGAGGGCGGGGACCGAGGGTTTGGGATATACGTATTGATTGGCACGCGAGCAGATAAAAGCGAACAGTCTTAAAATGGTTGTTGTTGTTGGTGGTGTTGTTGCTGTTGATGATGCTGCTGTTGTTGTTGGTGTTGGTGTTGGCGTTGTTCTTGCTGTTGTTGTCGTTGTTGTTATTGGCGTTGCTGTAAGTATTGTTGTTGTTGGTGGTGTTGTTGTTGTGTGTTGTCTGGTGTCGTCGTCGTCCCCGCTGCGACCCGCCCGCGACCCACCCGCGACCCACCCCGCGACCCACCCGCGACCCACTCCGCGACCCACCCGCGACTCACCCGCGACCCACCCGCGACCCACCCGCGACCCACCCCGTGATCCGCCCGCGACCCACCCCGCGACCCACCCGCGACGCGCGATGCATCCCGTGACCCACCCCGCGACCCAGCTTGCGACCTACCCGTTACCCGCTCGCGACCCACCCCGCGACCCACCCGCGACCCACCCACGACCCATACGCGACCCACCCGCGACCCGGCCCGAGACCCACCCGCGACCCACCCGCGACCCATCCGCGACCCACCCCGCGATCCACCCACATTGCTTTCATGAAAAAATCGGTGCCTGCGGCGGGCTCACTGCATAATTTGCCAAAATTTAGGCGGCTGCGGCGGGCTCCTTCAGAACCTCGCAGACTGACGACGTCTTCGCCGCCCCCTCACTCTTGTCCGCAACTGCGGGTTTCTACGTATACTTGCAATTCCGCGGGCCTCTTGGTTGTTTCTTTGGACCGCTTGGGTTTTTTGTTGGGGGGCATCTTGGCGGCTTCTTGGGGCCCCCTGAAAGCTCCTTTGGGGCCTCTTGGGAGCCTCGTGGGCCGTCTTGGGGCGCTGTTGCGCCGGCTGGTCCCTTCGGAGGCCGTCTTGGGGGCCTCTCGGGGCCGCCTTGTGGCTCTATTGGGGTCCTCTTGGGCCGTCTTGGACGAACAAAGAGATCTTTGGGGCAAGTGGGTGGCCTTGGAGGGTCACTTCGGGCCATCCCTGGGGCCTGCAGGAGGGGGCGAGGGGAGGAGGAGGAGGAGGAGGAGGAGGAGGAGGAGGAGGATGAGGAAGAGGAGGAGGAGGAAGAGGAGGAGGAGGAGGAGGCAGAGTAGAAGGACGAGGCAGACGAGGAGGAGGAGGCGGAGGCGAAGGAGGAGGAGGAGGAGGAGAAGGCAAACCGCTTCTTGGGGCCCTCGTGGGATGCTCTTGGGGCGCTATTGGGCGCTCTGGGGGCCGTCTTGGAGCCGTCTTGGGGCCCTCGTGGAGTTCTCTTGGGGCCCTTTTGGGGCCCTCTTGGAGGCCTTGGAAAGCCTCTTGAGGCCATCTTGGAGGCCATCGATCAAAAGAGGGGGGTCCCCGATGTGCCTCCCCCCTCTGGGGCCCTCAACTTCGCATTTGGGGGCCTCTTGGAATGCTCTTGGGACGCGTCTGGGGGGCCTCTTGGGCCCCTCTCGGGGCTCTCCTGGGCAACCTTAGGGTCATCTTGAGGCTTCAGAAGCGTATCAGAAGCGGAAAGGCGAGAAGTCAGCAACCACTGATTTTCAATAGTTGTAGGATTTGGGTCTCTTGGGGGGTTCCTGGGGGGTCCGAGAGTACTTGGACCCGTCTTGTGGCCCTCTTGGGGTCCCCTGAAGGCATGTTGGAAGTCACTTTACGCCATCTTCCCCCACCTTGAACCATCTCGGAGGCAATTTTGGGGCATCCGGAGCCCTCTTGGAGCCACCTTGGACGAGAAAGAACCCTCTGACACCTCGCGGCCCCCCCGTCCAGACCCAGGGAGGGAGGGCAGGGGGAGGGGCCCCAGATGCGTCCGAAACCGTGCCGCGCCGACAAGGGCCACCTCTGTTGGGAAGGCGGAGCAGCGTCGAGACCCCCTAAGACGGCCCCATCACGGCCCAGGACGGCTCCAAGACGCCCCGAGGCACCCCAAGACGGCCCCGGGTGGTCTCCAAGACGGCCACAGACGTTGCCAAGAGGAGCCCAGGAGGGCTCCAGGATGCATCGGAGAACGACCTTTTCTCAGGGACTCCCCCTCGGGACCTTCCCGGACCCCTCCCGGGACTCTCCCAGACCCCTCCCTGGGCAAACCCGCCGTAGATGACGTGAAAATGTCAAGAACGAGAAGAAAGCGATTCGTCGAATACACCTCCAGGTTAAGGAAACGTTACCTCGTCGAATGGTCCCTGCGTAAAGAAGACAAGCGTCAGACAGAGGGGCAGTGTTCCAGCGTGGGGCAGGGGAGGGGTAAACCCCTCACGAAGGGGTCCTCGTCCTCCCTCCTCCCTCCTCCCCCTCCTCCTCCTCCTTCTCCTCCTCCTTCTCCTCCTCCTCATCCTCCTCCTCTTCCTCCTCCTCCTCCGCCTCCTCCTCCTCCGACGACGACGACGACGAGGAAACACGCTAAACCACCTCCGCCCCGAGGACCGGTGAAACTGTTGCCCGCGCCTTCGGGCCCCGGGGATCTCGGCCTCGTTCCTGGGACCGGCTTTCCATGCTGAGGCGTTGTGCAGGGCTGGACCGAAACGCTGTTTTGCTGGGCTTCGGCTGTGTTCTGTTTTTCGTTTTGGGAGGGAGGTGCAGCAAAACAGGTCGGGCAAAACGAAAAGCAGAACGATAACAAGACGAAAAACGACGTTTAGGTCCAGCCCTGGCGTTCTGCTGGCAGTCCCACGGGCCGGGAGACGGCCCCTCGGCGGCCCGGGCGTTGCGCAAGGAGGGGACGGCGACCGATCGGCGGGGCTAAGATTAAGTCGGGCCTGTCCCTCCACAGAAGGAGTATAGTTTAGTTTTTCCCCAAAAACAGAAATCTTGCATCTTGTGAGTATGGTTTGAATCTGCTTTCCTCTTCCGTCGAAAATCGGCCTGTAGGGGGACACGCCCGACCTCGGGCTAAAAAGCGTGCACCCCTCGTGCACCTCAGGCGCCCTGCAGGGATCCACTGGGGCCCAAGAGGGGCATCAGAGGCCGCGCGGCTCCTCGCCCCTCCCCCCCCCCATACTTCGCCCCCCAGCCTTACGTCGGGCGTGTTCCTCTGCAGGAGGAACACTCAAAAATGGTTTAAACTAATATGGGGACGATGTTTCTAGCATGTTTTGCCATGTTTGCATCTGTTTGGATTTGTTTTAATTTTTCGTCTCAAATCCGCCCGTAGGGGGACGCGCCCGGCTTAACCCCAGCCCAGAGAACGGACCGCCGCGCCGTGCGTTGCGAGGCCTGGGTCGGAGGGATCTCAGGACGAAAAGAAACACACAGACACAATGAATCGCCGATTCCCCAGAAAATATCGGAAAATATGGGAAGTGGGGGGAAGACAAAAACCCAGAAAATATTGGAAAATATGGGGAATCTTTTATTGTAGTGGCCTCCGGCCAGTGCCGCCGATCCGGGGCGCTCTTAATCCTCCTACTCCTCCTCTTGCTTCTCCTCCTCCTCCCTCATCCTCTTGTTTCTCTTCCTCCTTCTCGTGCGCTTTTCGCTCCTCCTCTCCCGCTTCGATGTCCTCCTACTTCTCCCTCTTCTTCTCTTCGTCCTTCTGCTCTTCGCGCGCGCCCGGGTCGAGGCTCCCGGGTCCGGCTCCCGGGTCCCGGGTCCCGCGGCCGGCCGGCCCCTGCGCGCCCAGGTCCCGGTCGGCTCCCGCGCGCCCGGGTCCCAAGCTCTTGGCGGTCCCGGCTCCCGGGCCCGGCTCGGGCCCGGCCCCATGGTCCCGGGTCCCGGGGCCGGCCGGCTCCCGTCGTGGGTCTCGGGTCCGCGCCGGTGCCGGGTCCGCGTCGGTCCCGGGTCGCGGGTTGGGGGAGCCGGGGATCCGGCCGGCCCCCGCGCGCTCGGGTCCCGGGTCCCGGGCCGGCCGGCCCCCGCGCGCCCGGGTCCCGGCCGGCTCCCGCGCGCTCGGGTCCCGGGTCCCGGCTCCCGGGGCTGGCCCCCGGGTCCCGGGTCCCGGGTCCCGGGGACGGCCGGTCCCCGCGCGCCCGGGTCCCGGCCGGCCTCCGCGCGCGCGGGTCCCGGGTCGAGGCTCCCGGGTCCGGCCCCCGGGTCCCGGGTCCCGCAGCCGGCCGGCGCCCGCGCGCCCGGGTCCCTGGTCCCGGCTCCCGGGGTCGCAGATCCCGGGGCTGGCCGGCCCTCGCGCGCCCGGGTCCCGGCTCCCGGCTCCCGGACCCGGCCCCCGAGTCCCGGATCCCGAGGTTGGCCCGGACCCCGGCGCGCTCGGGCCCCTGGCTTTAGTTCCCGGGCCCGACCCTTCGCGTCGGGTCGCATTGGTCCGGCTCCCGCGCGCCCGGGTCCCAAGCTCTTGGCGGTCCCGGCTCCCGGGCCCGGCCCGGGCCCGGCCCCATGGTTCCGGGTCCCGGGGCCGGCCGGCTCCCGCGCGCCCGGGTCCCGGCTCCTGGGCCGGCCAGGTCCGGAGTCCCGGCTCCCGGAGCCGGCCGGCCCCCGCGCGCCCGGGTCCCGGCTCCCGGGGCCCGCCCCCCGGTCCCGGGTCCCGGGGCCGGCCGGCGCCTGGGTCCCGGCTCCCGGCTCCCGGGGCCCGGTTCCCGGGTCCCGGGTCCGGGGGCCGGAAAACCGTCAGCTCACGTCAGCCCTCCCCCCCCCCCCCGCTCCCAGGAGCGCGCCCGGGTCCCGGGTCCCGGGTCCAGGGACCGGAAAACCGTCAGCTCGCGTCAGCCCCCCCCCCCCCCCTTCCCAGAAGCGCGCCCGGGTCCCGGTCCCGGGTCCGGGGACCGGAAAAAACCGTCAGCTCGCGTCAGCCCCCGCCCCCCCCTCCCAGAGCGCGGCCCGGTCCCGGTCCGGGGGCCGGAAAACCGTCAGCTCGCGTCAGCCCCCCCCCCCCCCCCCCACCCTCCCAAAGCGCGTCCCGGGTCCCGGGTCCGGGGCCGCCGGGGGCCCGGAAAACCGTCAGCTCGCGTCACCCACCCGCCCCCCCCCCCCCCCCCTCCTTCCCAGAAGCGCGCCCGGGTCCCGGGTCCCGGGTCCGGGGCCCGGAAAACCGTCAGCTCGCGTCAGCCCCCCCCCCGCC